GCTCCACCGCTAATGGCTGACTGGCGCGATCGCATAGTACGCATCCTACGCAATCGATATGTATCTAATACTGTCGCGAATTCCAGTCAAGTCGCAAACTATGAACATTGCCTAAGAATATATGTCAATGTGGGTGTTATTGGAGAACTTCGGTGCAACACTTTGGCAGATTTTGGTAGGTATCCTCCTGTTGTTGTTTCATGTTCCCATCTCTCACATAGGCGATAACCGCTGCCCCTTCGCTGAGGTACTTTTGTATCTTCGCAAGTGCTGCAGAGCGGGTGGAAGCATCCAACTACTAAAGCCCTACACTCAATTTCTGCACTCTTTCAAGCGACGAAAGGAGCACAGTACTACACCTGCGGACCTATCGACCTTCTACATGGGAAGGACCCAATTTGCAGGTGAGCTTATGAGCGCTTACTAGTCGCACTACACAATTTCCTTCATTACTTCCATTTGGAAAGCGTGTGGGAAGGTGTTAGTGAAAGACTGTGCCCAAAAAACACGAGAATATCCGTCTTATGGTAAGACCAGATGAAGGGGCACCGTCAGAGTTGGAGGATTACAGGGTACAGCTGAAGTTCCGCGCAATCTCGCAAAAGTCCGCAAACAACTCTGCGCCCTCTAAGCTTTTTTCCCGGATCACCGGCAAAAAAAGCTGGGGGGGGGGAAATAGTTTAACCAATTTCTTTTTGACAAAAAGGCCTCTTTGTTTTCTCTGTGCGGTTTCGTGAAGCTCATGCCTGAATTTTCGAAAGAAATGGTTCTTATACTTACACGTCTCTCTCCAGTCCTGCTGCCAGCACCTTCCTTGAAACCATCTACGTAGCCCTGTTTGAAGTCATCTTGTCCAGGGTACTGTTCATCCAAACGAGAGATCAGCGACGGTGTGACACGATCACCGAAGATTCCAGAATTTCCATCCTAAAATTTAAGTAATTTTTTAACGTGTTTTAGTCAAAAATAATACTGTGACAATCGAGCGCGGCCTCTTCAGTGTTCACCTTCCCCTCTGTCGGCACGAGGATTCAGAGTGAACAATATTTCTGCTAGGTACGGTCGTAATCCTTCCAAAGATAGCGGCGCAGCCAGGGCAGCCTTTCCCGCCAATTATTGCGGATCAGGATGGCATCGTTGGTGGAAAAGGACATTTCGACTACACTCCAATTCACGCCCATGCCCGTGTCTTTGGCAGGGAACATCGCCATCGATTTGGGATGTGTGAAATGCATATAAAGTAACAATTTTAGGCTGTGACCTGCTTAAATACTTTAGCCATCCGTGCGATATGAGCCTGGCCATGGTTCACTTAAAATCATAGTGTTTTCAAAACTGGTTGTAAAGGATTGATGAGGGGCAATAGAATGCTACAGCGCAGTGCTTCATCTTCCCAGACATGTCTGGCTCTAATCAGCCGATCCAGAGGAGGAAGTTTCCAGCAATTATTTAGATTTAGCAATCAATATTACTAACGGTAAAATTAATACCAAGCTGTATAATAAAACGGATGATTTTAGCTTCAATGTTATTAGATTTCCCCACAGTGACACAAACATTTCCCTTATTAACAAATCCTCTGTTATATATACGGAAACGTTGAGGTTAGCAAACACTTGTTCTTTCTTCAATGTATTCGTAAGCAAAATAACGGATATGGTCACTACTCTTTCGAAAAATGGCTACGAAGAAGAATTTATATACTAGCATCTGGTGAATGTATTCTAGCAAAAATAAATTTTTATAGGTTACAAATACTCATTGCAACCAGATAACGCTAGACTGGTTAGAGGTGTTCTCATTGGCAGCGGTGTTCAACACTAGCTCTCATTTTACCACGAAATTTTTGATTTAACCTTATTAATCCGCTGCGACAGTGTCTTTTACTCATTTATACCTTGTTTGTTTAGCCCATCGACAAACAAATCCTTTTCTCTCCTCATACCCATCTTGCTACTCAACACGGTTATATCCTTCTTTCATTCACCTTGCACAGTTCCTTTCTTATCTTTATATGATTGCATGGATTTTGCATGTCAACTTTTTTGCATTTTTTCTCGCTATATCCTTTTCTTAACTCCTTCCCCTATGTAGTCCATGTCCATGTCTCAACTCTATCGTACTGAGGAGCCCGGGGGTTGGTAAGACATCGATGATTCGTCTACGATAACGGGCGAAACGGATCATCTGTGATGTTGAGTGTATTTTTCCCCAACTTTTTTTCTTTGGTTTCTA